ATAGGACACTTAGTTCTGTTAAACTCTTTTGTATTATTAACTTCATATAATGAAAGGATTATTTATCTTGATTCATGTTGTTATTAATATGTGTTTGGCTTGTATTTTCCTAGGGGGAATTACATGGTACGCAAGTTACAAATAGTGGATAAAGCAACAAAGTGGCATATTTCATTTATTATTAGTGATATTCTATGTCATAGTAAATCTTTTGATTTTATGTGTATTGCTAAGGTATGAAGATATGTAATCTAACCAGCTCATGTGCTAGCAACTGATGTTATTAAATCCTTTGTTTAATGTTATGAAGTTATTTAGGTCAAGTTTGGCAAGTCCAGAATAAGTGATAAAGTCAAAAAGTTATTCAAAAAGTTAAAAAGTTAACACTATTCACCAAAGTTGCTGCACAACTCCCAATTCTAATTTTCTCTTACAAACCAATTTTTACAATTTTTTATTACACATTTTTTCATAAAAAGTCAAAAAGTTAACCCAAACATCTATATTTTTTTCCTCAATTTTTTAGTTCAAAAAGACAAAAAGTGCACTTATTTAGGACACCTCAAAAAAAAATACTTCTTTTCAAATAGTCTTTATCATTTAGTCCTTCAATTTTATTTTTTGCAGTTACTTTTAGTAAACAAATTTGTTTCAGTTGGTGCTTATTTTGTGTGAGTTTGGTATGACTTATTTCTATCGCATCACTTCTCCACTTTTATATACGTCTTTTTGTAATTAGCAAAAAAAAATATAACAAAAAAAAAGTCATATCCAAACCACTTTATCAATTTTTTTATTTATTTATATTTTTTTATTTTAACTCAAATTTACTAGTTTGACAATTTTTTAATTTTCTTTATTTTTAGTTTAGTTAGCTTTAGACTTTAGATATATTATTATAAATTCAATATTAAGCCTCTACCCTATTTGGGACGTAAGTTGGGAGTAATTTAACCCACTAAAAGACAAAATATGCTAAAAATTTAATAAGACAAAATGTCACATCCAAAGTATAATCATTTCACTTTTTCTCTCACAAAGCTACAAAAAAGCCAAATGTTCTTCCGAAACAGAACTTTTTTACTTAGATTAAAATAGTCAAAAAAAACTAAAAAATGAGACTAAAAAAGTCCTTCATAAATGAAAACTTACCATCAACTCTAGGAAATAACTTTAATGGGTTCAAGTTTAATATCAAACTTATAACAATATTATTATTACACTACTCTATAGTTGCAATAAAACAGTTATAGAATAATGAGATTGTTACATTATTAATATATGTGACACTTATCTATATAAGTTGTTAATAAGAGAAGAAAAATATCAACAACAAAAAAAATATTTATTTTTTAAAATATTTTCTTCTATTTGTATATATATTTTCATATATTTTTATGACTTTTATGCATTCAAAGCTAATTATAATGAATTCAGACAATAAATCCAAATTTAATCTCTTTTCTTTTTTTGTTCAAAGGTTCACTCACCAAAACATTATATCTATAAGGCATGCTACCTGTTCAAAAAATAAATACTAAATAAATAAGGACATGCTACCGTGAAATGACCGGAATACCCATTATCAATTTACTGAATAACCATGATTTGTGCAATATAACTCTATCTTCCTCTTGTCTTTCTCTCTCTATTTGTGCAATATATCCCATTATTTGTCTTTTTATAACTCATTATCTATCTCTTTCTTTCTTCTCTCTCCATCATCTTCTCCAAACAGCTGCAATGGTCTAGCCCTACCACAACTCCGAGGTCCAGTCCCACCACGCCTCTCCTCTGGAGTTGCAGTGGTACATCCGTCAGCTACAGTGGCGAATGCGCTGCCGGTGATGGTTTTGAGGAGTCTAACAGACCTCATAAGCACCAGAACTCTCTTGTTCACCTTCTCTCTACCTGTTCAACCGCTTAGTTCTATGATCACAACTAATGAACAATGGCGAGTGTAACAACCCTGATCTATGATTAGCCCATGATCATTGATTAAGACTACTTAACAAGTAATTAAGATGAAATTCTACGTTAATTGCATGAGATATATGTTTTTTGCATTTATATTTGTCTGTTATAGAAATATGTGTTTGAATTTCCGTTTCAATAAGTAAATTGAAGGCCTTATCGGCATCTGATCACGGAATTGACTCCGTTTATTTGTTATTTAGAATTCTTAGAATTTTATGGTAGGTTTAATTGGATTTTGATTCGGAACCAAATAATTAGATTAATTAATTACAATTTGATTAGGCTAAGCCAGATTAATTAGTGAAGCCTATATAAGGCTAATGATAGGCCTTATATCATTTTACACACTTCCATTTCAAGCTTTTTGAGCTCAAAACATGAGAGAGAGAGAGAGAGAGAGAGAGAGAGAGAGAGAGAGAGAAGAGGGTTGAGATCAAAGAAGGCATAGGAGAATTTGAGAGAATTTGAAGAAATTAAAGAAGACTCAAGAGAATTAAGCTTCCACACTTGTGAACTCAAGCTTAAGGTAAGAATTCACCCTTTAAACTAAGAGTTTGAATCAATAAGAGAATTAAGTAGATTAGTATGAGAATTGAATTTAGATAGATAATTTTGAGAGGAATCATGCATGCATGTGCATTCTATAGCATTTTGAAGTTGATTTCAAGTAATTCTCTCATGCATGTCATTATTTCACCTTGGTTTTGGAAATCATCAAGTTTCATCCCATTTTATATCATTTGATCATGTTTTAGAAGGTTGGAGTTCATAACAATACATTCAAGTTATGTTTTCTAAATTCCAAGTTTGATTCTGAACAGTTCACTTACTTTTGGGCCTTGATTTTGCGAAATGAACCTTAATTTTTGGTGTTTTACAAGTTTAGACTTATTTTCTCAAGTTTTGGGGCCCAAATGATGTGTTTTGAAGATTTATACTTGAGTTTTGCATCTTGAACATCAATCTAGAAATTTCAAAATTCTATATCATTGCTCGAGCGACAGAAACTACGCTTGCGACTAAAAGTTGGCTCAAGCATAAAATTTGAGCTCCGAGTACTTTTGTAGACATGGGTCGTGTCTCAAGCAACAGAACTTGCGTTGGAGTGACCACCCTTATTTTTTATCCTCTGTTCGAGCGTAGGAAATTGCGCTCAAGCATAAAATGAGAGCTCCCAGAAGTTTTATAGAATTTTATAGTCCACTCGAGCGACCAAAGTTGCGCTCGTGCGAAGACCTTATTTTCAAAAATTTGACTAAGTATTACAACTCATATTTTGGCATCCTCATTGCATCTTAGGTATTCCTAAGCCTTAATTAAGACATAATAAAGAGGATAAAGATTAGAAACCCACCAAGATAGAAAATAAACAAGTTAAGTGCTTTCCAAATGTGTGTTTCAATGTGTATCCGTTGTGTGTTGTGTAGATCACGCGCCATAGACTATTTGATCCGTCTACTTTATTTGTTCTATTATTGGAGCCATCTGTGAGTAATAACTCTGTAAAGCTATGTTCAATATTACGTATTTTCTGAACATTATGATATGGAAATGATCAGTTTTCTGAAATGTTATGTTTTGTATGAATGAATGATTGTCCAAATTTCTGAAAAGTATTCATGGCCTCCTTAGCATTATATGATATGCGTCCCTTTATGGGTCATCAAAATGCCTTTATAGCCGTCCCTTTATGGGTCATCAAAAACGTCTCTGTGCACATGAGTCATCGGAATACCTTTATGGCCGTCCCTTTATGAGTTATCAGAATGCCTTTACGGCCATCCCTTTATGGGTCATCGGATTTATTAGCGCTAATGGATGTACCATGTATGATCATATGGAATATGTGAACTCTGAACACAAATATGAATATAAGTATGAATATGAATTTGTATCTGATCTGAATTTTGAATTCTGGATTTATTATGGACATCATTCATTAAAATCTTTACCCTGTTATTATTCACTGGGCTCCAGCTCACATTATTATTTATTTATATAGGTGATCAAGTGCGTGATTAGGTCTAAGCTGCTGCCTGGATTCTTTTGTGTCGACCAGCCATTATGCCTCCCAATGAGGTTCCCGTTTTGAAGTGGTCACGTTCTATTAACAAGTTTTAAGTTTTTGTTTTCTTCTATTTGATTGAACAAGTTTTTGTACGTTGTATTTATGTGGGTTTTGGTGATGTAAGACTAATGTAAAAATGACGTCACTGATATGTATATAAAGTCTTAAATTTTCTGTCTCATGTATGTCTACAAAGCTCTATTGACATTATATGTTTGTATTTACACTACAACAAGTTGGGTCTTGAATGACAAAATTTTTTTGTCTCGAAAGAGCTAATTTCGTCACTATAGATATTTGTGACGAAATATTTTCGTCACCAGCTTCGTCATTGAATGTTTGTCACTAAAAACCACCGTGACAAAAAATAATTTCGTCACCAATGAAATTAGTTCAGTGACGAAATTTTTTGTTACCAATAAAACAAGATTTTGTCGCCAAAAATTCTCATTTTCATCACCAAATAATTATTCAATACCATATTTATAATTTTAGTTGACGAATAAATTTGTCACAAATGTTGATCATTGATGAGGAAATAATTTCGTCACAGTAAGATATAAAGGTGGCAATTTTTCGTCTCCAAAAGTCATACATGGGTGACGAAATATATTTCATCGCAAATATATTTATATACGTGACGAAAAATATTTCATCACCAAACAACAAAATCAATGAAAACTTCCATATATGCACTACAATAAATTTTGTCACAAAAAATGTTTATTAATGATGAATAAGCACTTTGTCATAATAACAAGTACAAATGACGAAACAAATTCGTCACTAAACATGTTCCATATTTTATATTTCAATTTCAATTATTATTTCACAAATATCCCTGCTCATCTTTCAATAGTCTTTTAATTGTACTAAGAAATCACTAGCTCTTATATATCACTCTACAAAAAAAAATCAATAAACAATTTACATTATAAATCAAAATATATCCATCAAACAACTTTAATAATATAAACCATTAAGTAAAACAAAAAAACCACCAAAGCAAATCCCAAAATGAACTAACGTGGAATCCACAAAAAAAAATCAACATTCAATCTTAATTTACAACTACAACTAAGTATCAGTTCAGGAAACAAAATTCAACAGTTGATCTTCATTTGCACGTATACTTCCAAATGTCATCAAAAACCAATCTGCAAAGAAAATAGACAAAGAAAATATTAATATATTATCAATTACATCTAAACTCATATATAAATAATTTTATTTTATAAACCAGTTTAGTAGAAATGCATCTAACAAATCAGAACTTCCAAGAGTTGAGGTGATCCTTGATGATAAAGCAACACGGATAACATAAGATGCCAAAAGATTGCAAGAATACCATATATCACTATCACTAATGACAGAATATATGGCATGATATGGTACCTACATCGCATATTTCTTCATATACTAGTTGGACCCCCCACGCGCGTGGCGCGTGGGGGTCATATTATCGTTGACATAAATAATATAACAAGGCAATGACACAATATTTTCTTCAAAAAAATAACATCAAAAACACAATATTTCTTATTTTATATCCTATTAATCATAATTACATCTTACATTTCATAAAATTATAAACCGGCAAACAAAATGGCCCCTTGTTATCTTAAATTGAAACTACGTGGGCTAGCTAGTTGGAAGAATTGCTTTTTGTCGTCTCTCTTTTCCTTCTCTCTAGCACCAACGCTGCCACTCCTTCCAAAGTTGGAGCTGAAAACAAATTCACCTAAGAGTTTTTCCTACGAAATTAATTAAAAAATAATAGTAGCAATTTGCTGGGTACATAACATAAATATTGCATTCATTGCTTTTATGAGCATGTGCTTGAGGACATACAAATAAAATAAGAACCACTCAAATTATCACTGAAAATGAAGAGTCAAAAGTAGACATGGATAATGCCATTACCTCAAGTCAAATAGAGTAATCATGATAAATTGCTCCTTCCATGGGGATGATTACTCTTTAGAAGCAGAGAATAGCAACATCCTGAGAAGTATATTCACAATCAAGCAATCAAAATATATCATCCATTCATGTAGTTCAAATATCATAGTAGATGAATGAATAGAAGGCAATAAAGACTTACCATTACATATAATATTTCTTTACTCATGAACAAGAGACAACATAACCATTGTCTCATGTATGTCTACAAAGCTCTATTGACATTATATGTTTGTATTTACTTTCGCTAGCCCCTGTATTTTGTTTAATTTGTTCAGAGGCCTTTGGTAATCCCAGGATTACTGGCCGGTTACAACACTAAACCTATAGGGGCAAGTTTGGGTCGTGACAGCGAGCTCTAGTGGCGATGAGGGAATCAGATGAGGGATTTTCGAACCAAATGAGCAGATCTAGGGCATCATTCAACGTCGGTATCTATAAGGTCTGCAATGCTCTCTCTCTCTCTATATATATTTATATATATATATATATACATATAATTTGTTATATCATTGATTTGATGATTGGTCGATTGAATCGCATACTACTATTGATGAAGTCATGCTTGAAAAACCAAAAACTCCCTTAGATGTTGATTTGTGATTATGTATCAATTTTAAGCAGTATATAACAATCTCAATCAAACAATCAAGACAAATCGACACAACGATTTTACGTGAAAAAATCACAATTGGACACCTCTAATTGTGATAAAAAAAATCACGGGCAACAGCCACAAAACAATTCACTAAGAAGATATAAAGGAATTACACAAGTATACTCTCAATTACCTAGCGAATCCACGCCTGAATTGAACCAACCTCTACGTATCTCTTCCAACCCCGTCTTCACCTCGGAATTGTCTTAACGGTGAGCCACTTCAGAATCCACCAAAGCCTCAGGCTCAAATTCTTCAGAATCCACCGAAGAACAACTCTCTCTTTTGTGTAAAACAAACAAATAATCCTTTGATGTATACTCTTTAAACCATGAGTTGAATACTCAATCAAAATATCAAAGAAAACTAGTAAAATATCCCTAGATATAAACCTTAGAACCCAAGAAGAAGATCTGGAGAAGTAATCCTAAAATCTGACAGAAACACGTACTTATAGAAATCTGAATCGCGATGTTCGCTCGAGCGAAGACTCTCTCGCTCAAGCGAGGAACCAAAAACGCGTGTTTTCCATAAGTGGCTTCGCTCGAGCCACGCACCCTTCGCTAGAGCGTACATTCATCTCTTTCAGGTTTTTTGCCAGACGCACCCTTCGCTCGAGCGAGTACTCCTTCGCTCGAGCGAGCAAGGGCGGACATGCAACTTTGAATGCAATTTTGCATTTTGCTTCGGGGGCAATCTTGAAAGTATTAACATCACAAACTTCTCTGCAAAGCACAATTCGGATTGGATTCGCATCTAAACACTCATAGCCTCACTGAAATAAAAAGTGCGAAAACAAATACAACTTAAAAGAGTTTTGTCAAACGAGGTTTCCAAGAATAAAAACCTAACAATGCTATTATGGGATGAAGAATGAGGGAGAGATTGGCGCCGCCATTGTTAAAGTTGGAATCAAAGTTAGAGAAGAGCCACGTGACATTAGCAGTGGAAGAATTGAGGACGGAGGAGACCTTGCGGTGGTCGACGGTGGCGGTAATGGTTATGCTTTGAGTTTGTAGGGTACTCTTGTGGTGATGGCTCCACTCTACCCCTGTTTTACTCTCATCTCTCTCCTTATAAACCCTAGCTCTCTAGATGGCCATCGATCTAGATCTTGGAATTGGCGGCAGAAGTGAGGAATCTCCTAACGTGAAAGTAGATTAGTAGAGGGAAGGGAGGTAGAGACCGAACCAGAAGATTGCGGAAAGGGTCAATGGTTACATCGGAAGAGAAGACTCCATTGAGGTTTGGAAAATTGTGGAGATTTAGGTTACGAAAAAGGTCGATAGTGACATCGGAGGAGAAGACTCCATTGATGAGTTTGGAAGATGGTGGAGATATAGGTTTAGAAGAGAGAGAAAAGAGCTGTGAAGTGGGTTTGTTGAAATGTTATTTTAATAGATAAAAAAATTCAACATATAAGAAAAAATAGTCTTGGTAAATTTGAACATACAGGAAAAAATAATTTCAACTTCAACATAAAAGGGTAAAATTGGAAATTAAATGTCCTTCAAAACTTAAAACGTACTTCTCACTAAAATATTTCTCAAAGCTTGTACTTCTGATCAAAAAAAATTACCTAATGGACCTATTGCCATAAGCAATCTTTAGATTGTACTTATCACCAATTTTCTCTTATAACTATTTGGGTTCTAGTTAATATTTTTTTATATAAAAATAAAATTTGTTAGTGAGTGTCTTAATATTATTGGTTAACAAGTTTAAATTCATTGTAAATTGGGCACTCAGTCCAAAAATTCAATTTTCAATTTTGTTTGGCCAAAGGTTCAGGTACTCAAATACTTTGTCCAAAAAGACATGCTCAAGCAAAATAACCAAACTACCCTTCCTCATATATATCATATATACACAGGCCAAACCCTAACATTACACTCACTCACTCTCTCTCTTCCATTTACTCTTTATCACTCTCTCTTTCCTCCGCCTCTCATGCTCACGTCGTCGCCTCATTATCTGCCACTGGTGATCAGCATTGTCGCTGCCACTCTCTCTCTCTCTCTCTCTTCACATCACTCACTAGTATTCTCTATCCTCTATTTGGAGTTTCTTCATACAAAAATGTTAGAGGAAAAGAGAGCTAAGATACATTCAGATCTTTAGCACTTACGGTTCCGAAACCTCTTCCAAGATCATTGTCTTCGTCATCATTGTCATCTTCGATTCCTCCGTCGCCTCCGCTGCTACTGATGAAGGGAATAAAGGTTTTTTCGGCGAGTGAGCTTGCTGGGATGTTTCTGTGTATTATTAGAGCAAGGAGTTGTATTATCACATCGAAGGTTTGGCATGGCGGCTAAAGAGAGTCGTGGACGGCATCGATGGAGTGAAGGCGATGTGGTTCCGAGTCTGGAGACTCTGTCGTCGAATGTTTTGGAAAAAATGAGGGCGTTATTAGAGGATAATGAAATTCCAGAGATTTCGATAGTAGCGAACAAGGTTTTGTTTGGGTTTTTGATGGGGAATAGGCGTATGGCGATTGTAGAAGGAGTAACTACCAGAGACAAGAAGAAAAAGAGGACAAAGAAGAGCATTGACACCTACAAGATCTACATCTTCAATCTCTTACCACAATAGCTCCATGAAAAATAGGTCCTGCCTTTGTCAAGGGTCACCACAAACTTCTCTATCTCTCTATCTCTCTCTCTCTCTTTCTCTCTCTCTCTCTAAATCTTGATTTATTCCTTAGTGATCGAAGAAGAAAACTATTTCAACAGATCTGTAATAGGTTCAAAATTTCAACAGATGATGGCTTGGTATATTTGAGCTCAAAGATATATCTACATATACGTGTGTGTGTGTGTGTGTGTGTGTGTGTGTGTGTGTGTGTGTGTGTGTGTTAGATCTGTGTAATGTGTTAGATTTGTTGATGAAGATGAAGAACATGATGATCTTGTTTTTTTTTTTTTTTTTCAAAAAAAAAGATTTGAGCTCAAATCTGTGTTAGATCTGTTGTTGTTCTTTACCACCGTTGATGATGATGGCTTTAAAACATTCTTCTTGCTTAAGCTCATAGATCTGTGTTCTCTATCGTAGCTCCTCATTTGCCTCAAATCTCTTTTTTTTTTTCTTTTGAAAAATTTAAATAGATAGTCTCTCTCTATTATTGTTGTTGTTGTTGTTGTTGTTGATGAAATATATTAAATTATTAAATTATTTATTTAATTTTTGTATTGAACAGATGATAAATGAGAAAGAGAGAGAGAGAGAGAGAGAGAGATAGAGATAATGAGAAGAAAGATTTGAACAAATAGGATTTGGTTTATCTTGGTATTTTAACAGATAGAAAAAAAATTGAACAGATAGAGTTTCATTTGGACAAATATTTAAACAAATAAGAGAAATTTGAATTGAAAAGATTAAAAAATTAAATAGATAGAGTAAAAAAAATCAACACAGGGAAAATTTTGAACATATAGGAAAAAAATTTATACAGATAGAAAACAAATTTAAACAGATAATCAATGAAAGTCAACAAATAAAAAAAAATTAATAGGTAAAATTGGAAACAAAATATCATTTAAAATAAATAAAAGAATTTCTCACCAGACTATTTCATAAAGGGTAGATCTCTCGCCAACAAAAAATATTTATTGGATTTAATTCCTTGTACCCTCCTTATCTTGAATTTTTCAACAATTATCTCTTGTAGATTCTATATCAAAAACATGTACCGTGAAAAATGTATAGCAATTTTAAACTTCATTAATCAATATCTTACAACATTTGGAAAAAATAAGAGCAATGAAGCACAAATCATCTTTTTTGTACATTAAAAAAAAATGAAAATGCTATAAAAAAAATTACAAAATTTTATTATTATGTAAATGCAATGATAAAATTTTAACTGAAATCTAGCTCACTTTAATGATATGATAAATACTACATAATAAGTAAGACAAGTTTGTAAAAAATTATATAATAAAAAATATATATTGACTGATTGGGTATTAGTAAGGCTGCAAACGAGTCGAGCGGAGCTGAGCTGAGTTCAGCTCAAGCTCGAGTTAAGCTCGTTTGCTTATCGAGCTCATTTATTGAGTTTGAATTCTGCTCGATAAGTAACTAGACTCAAGTTTGGCACGTCTTGTTAATATTAATGAAATTAGAATTCAGCTCGACTCAACTCGATAAGATTTTTTAAAATATTATTTATATTATTTTAATAAAAAATATTATTTATATTATTTAATATATAAATAATAAATTTATTATATAATTTAAATAAAGATAAACGAGTCGAGTTTATTCGAGCTCAAGCTCGAGCTCGAGCTCGACTCATAACGAGACGTGCCGAGCCGACCCTGTTTGTGAATAGTTCGGTTCATTTGCAATCCTAAGTACTAGGGACCAACTACAAAAATAAAAATATAAAATATTAGAAGAAAAAGAAGAAGAAAATATTGTATTAAATATGTACTTATGATGATGTTTATATATCACATTAATTTCCTATATGATGTATTATTACTATATTGACAATGTATACACGTAGTGAGATTCAGCTAAAATGTAA